GTGATCAGAGCTCACTGCAGCCTTGACCTCCCAGGCTCAAGCGATCTTCCCACCTCAGCCATCTGGATAACTGGGACCACAGGCTGCCACCATGGCCAGCTAAGTTTTTAAAATTTTTTATAGAAATGGGGTCTCGCTTGGTTGCCTAGGCTGGTTTCAAACTCTTGGGCTCAAGCAATCCTCTCATCTACAATAATTTTAGGCCTCCCAAAGTGTTGGGATTGCAGATGTGAGATACAGCACCCAGTCTCATTAAATGTCACTTCATTTTCAACCTTTCTTTTTCATATTATTTTATGTTTATTTCTTATATTCAGCATATGGCTGGGTTTTTTTACTTAACCCAATCTGAGAGGATCTAGAGCAAGCCTGTCCAATCCACAGCCCACAGGCAGCCCAGGACGGCTTTGAATGCAGCCGAACACAAATTCATAGACTTTCTTAAAATATTATGAGATCTTTTTTGCAATTTTTTTTAAAGCTCATCAGCTATTGTTAGTGTCTGTGTATTTTATGTGTGCTCCAAGACAACTCTTCTTCCAGTGAGGTTCAGGGAAGCCAAAAGATTGGACACCCCTGATCTAGAGGAAGGAATAATTTAGTTTATTATTTAATGAAATAACTCACATATTTGACTTTATTCTTTCACTCTCATGTTTATCATTCAGAAACTTTTCCATGAATGTATACTTTTCACCCACACTGCTTGTAATTTTTCCCTTACCCCAAACGGAATATAAGCATTGTTCACTATCTTTTCTTCTTCTCTTTTTTTTTTTTCCTTTCCTTGAGACGGAGTCTCGCTCTGTTGCCCAGGCTGGAGTGCAGTGGCACGATCTTGGCTCACTGCAAGCTCTGCCTCCCAGGTTCAGCCTCCCGAGTAGCTGGAACTACAGGCGCCCGCCACCACGACTGGCTAGTTTTTTTTTTTTTTATTTTTAGTAGAGATGGGGTTTTACCGTGTAAGCCAGGATGGTCTCGATCTCCTGACCTCGTGATCTGCCTGCCTTTGCCTCCCAAAGTGCTGGGATTAGAGGCGTGAGCCACTGCGCCTGGCCCATCGTTCATTATCTGCATAGCTTTTCCTGCTGAAGTAGCATCCAATTATATGGCTGTACATTTTTAATTTGAACAACTCTCCACTAGTTGTCCTACATTTTTCTAATGTAAATACAACCACAGGCCATCCAGTCATACAAGTCACATACTTGGAAGTCATCTTTCACACTTCTTGTCCTTCATCTCCATAACCAACTCATCACCAAGTCCTGTTAATTTTACTTCCTACATCACACTCATCTTCCATCTCTCCTGCTATTATTCTAGTTCAAAGTACCATGAATCTGAAATGGTCTCCTGTTGTACCCACATCAACTTTGCTCCCACACCTATCAGTCTTCTTCAGTAATGTTAGAACAAAGACTACAAAGTGGATAATGTCACCTAAAACCCTTCAATGGTTTCCTGTTACATTCAGGATACAACCCAAAACACAAACCTCAAGGCCCTGATCTGCAGATCAGGTACACTTCATGCCACTCTCTTCTTTACTCTCTGCATTTCAGCTACACTAGTCTTTTCCCATTCTTCTACCAGATACTTACTCCTTCTGTCTATGTTTCACATACCCTTATTCTCCATTTACCCAGTTAACTTGTATTCATCTTTGATATTTCTGCTTAAATATTACTTCCTATGAGAAACATTCCCTTACCCTCAGGCTAGGTTAACCAAATCCTCATTCCAATACACTCCCGTAGTATCCAGTACTTTTCTTTTGTACCCACTAAACAAATAATTACACCACCAAAAATATAAATACAAACTGTGATAGGTGCTGTCTCCACCACTAGACTGCAGACTTCATGAAAGCAAAAACTATCCCTAATTATGTTTTACTTACCACTTTCTCGATTTACTATGTCTGGCACTATGATACTGTAAAATAATAAATTTGGTCTTTGATCTCATTTCCTGGCATACAACTCCTAAAGTCCTTGGAATTTCCAAAGTTATGCCTTTTTTTTTTAATTTTTTTTGAAGACAGTCTTGCTCTGTCACCCAAGCTGGAGTGCTGTGGCACAATCTCGGCTCACAGCAACCTCTGCCTCCTGGGTTCAAGTGATTCTCCTGTCTCAGCCTCCCAAGTAGCTGGGATTACAGGCACGTGCCACCATACCCAGCTAATTTTTGTATTTTCAGTAGAGACAGGGTTCCACCATGTTGGCCAGGCTGGTCTTGCACTCCTGACCTCAAATGATCTGCCTGCCTCAGCCTTCCAAAGTGCTGGGATTAAGGGGACATGAGCCCAGGCCCAAAGTGATGTCTTTTTGTATGTTAATGATTGACTGATGGCTGGCAGCTACTAGGTAGCTTTAGGATAAGAGCAAGGCAGAATTAGAGGATTGTGACTTTCAGTCCCACCCAATCCCCCAACCACCAGGGAGAGAAGAGGAGCTAAAGGTTAACCAATGGCCACTGGTTTAGGCATTCACCTATGCAATGAAGCCCATAAAAACTGAAAAAGACTGCACTGGGAGAGCTTCTGGATACTAAATATGTGGAAGTTCCTGGAGGGTGGTGTGCCTGTGGAGGTCCTAGAGAATCCCTGTGCCCACTCCCCTACATCTCTTCCCATGCATCTCTTCATCTGAATCCTTTGTAATATCCTTTATAATAAACTGCTAGGCCGGGCGCGGTGGCTCAAGCCTGTAATCCCAGCACTTTGGGAGGCCGAGACGGGTGGATCACGAGGTCAGGAGATCGAGACCATCCTGGCTAACACGGTGAAACCCCGTCTCTACTAAAAAAAATACAAAAAACTAGCCGGGCGAGGTGGCGGACGCCTGTAGTCCCAGCTACTTGGGAGGCTGAGGCAGGAGAATGGCGTGAACCCGGGAGGCGGAGCTTGCAGTGAGCTGAGATCCGGCCACTGCACTCCAGCCTGGGCGACAGAGCGAGACTCCATCTCAAAAAAAATAAAAATAAAAAATAAAAAATAAACTGCTAAATGTAGGTAAGAACTTCCGGGAATTCTGTGAACTGTTCCAGCAAATTAATCAAACTCAAGGAGGGCAGCATGGGAACCTTCATTGAAGTCTGTTGGTCAGAAGTTTCAGAAACCTGGACTTGCAATTGGTGTCTGAAGTGGGCGGGGGGCACTCGTGAGGCATGAGCCCTCAGCCTGTGGGCTATGGCGCTGTCACCAGGTAGATAGGGTTGGGATTGAATTAGAGGCATCCAGCCAGTGTTCACTGCTTGCTTTGGTCACAGAAGTCTTCTGTGTTGACTACTGCTGTGGTGTGACAGCAGAGGAAAAAACAGGTTTTCCACATAGGCACATTAACAGGTACTCAATAAATAACGCTTAATGCCGGGCACGGGGGCTCACGCCTGTAATCCCAACACTTTGGGAGGCTGAGGCGGGCAGATCACCTGAGGTCAGGAGTTCGAGACCAGCCTGGCCAACATAGTGAAACCCCGTCTCTATTAAAAATACAAGAATTAGCCAGGTGTAGTGGCAGGGGACTGTAATCCCAGCTACACAGGAGGCTGAAGCAGGAGGATCGCTTGAACCTGGGAGGTGGAGGTTGCAGTGAGTGGAGACAGTGCCATTGTACTCCAGCCTGGGCAACAGAGCAAGATTCCATCTCAAAAAATAAATAAATAAATAAATAAATATAAATAAATGTGGAATGAATGAATGCTGCTAAGGACAATCCTAGCTATCATTCACACACACACTCATACACACTCCCACCTGCTGCTTAAACTCTCTAATGTCTTCATTTTTATTTTTTATTTAGTTTTCTTCTGACATGCAGTCTCGCTCTGTCACCCAGACTGGAGTGCAATAGTGCAATCTCGGCTCACTGCAACCTCCACCTCCCATGTTCAAGCGATTCTCCCACCTCAGCCTCCCAAGTAGCTAGCTGGGGTTACAGGCGCCCACCACCACAACCCGGATAACTTTTGTATTTTCAGTAAAGACAGGGTTTTGCCACATTGGCCAGACTGGTCTCGAACTCCTGACCTCCGGTGATCCGCCACCTCAGCCTCCCAAAGGGCTGGGATTACAGGCGTGAGTTACCATGCCCAGCCTAAACTCTCTAATGTCTTCAAATTGCCCTCATGATCCAAACTCTTTACCAGAGCCTATATGGCCCCGCATGACTTGATCCCTGACTCCTTCCCTGATCTCGTGTGTGTGATACTCCAACATATCAAGCTCACTTCTGCTTCAGAGCCTTTAACACTCACTCTTCCATCCACTGCGAATGCTCCTCTGATCTTCACAGTTTTCAGTGAAATGTGATCTCTTCAGAGGCCTTTGCTGATGAGCCTGTCTAAAAGAACTAGCCCATCTTCCTCCTCCCTCCTACGACCCTATCCCAGTTAACTTGTATTCTCATACTGTGTTCTGATGTTTTCATAGCAAATAGCACTTATCACCTCTGATTAGAGTACATCATACACAGTAAATTAGGTACATGGTTTTTATAAATTATTTCAAGTACATGTATGTACATGATTTTATGAATAGATTGTGATACAAAAGTTATTTCTCCTGATGGATCAGTTAACATTTTAAGAGACAGGATCTGGCTGTGTTGCCCAAGCTGGCCTCAAATGCTTGGGCTCAAGTGATCCTCTGGTCTCAGCATCCCAAGTAGCTGGGACTACAGGCGCGAGGTACCATGCCCAGCACTGACAAAACGTTGTTGAAAGCTTCTGCTGTCTGCTGACAAGACTACCAGATAATACCAAATGATGGCAGCTCTTTCTTTATCATCCCACTGTTCTACCACTATAATTGGGACCGGGAAGCAATTAAGGTCTTTCAAACAATACGATTTAAAAGAAACAGCTTTAAAATTTGTCACATTAAAAAGTCTGTTTCTACTTAATATCATATTGGCATTAAAGTTCTTATCCTTCCACACAAAGTGGCTTATCATCTGCTTTTCAAATGTGGAATAAAAAACAAACAAAGAAGATACCTTTTTAGTCCATCTTTTTACTCCATTATATCCTTTGGTTACCAGCTGTCTATGAAAAAAGCTGTTGAAGAAGTGAACCTAGAACAGACAATAAACACAAGCAACCAGATTATATTAGGCTTTGCCCAGATTTAACTTCAAAAGAAAGAGGAAATTTTAAAATGTTTGAATATAAAGCAGACAAAAAGAAAGGAAAAATTTATTCTTAAAAACAATGATTGAGGAGGCAAGTGGATCATCTGAAGTCAGGAGTTTGAGACCAGCCTGGCCAACATGGTGAGACACTGTCTCCACTAAAAATACAAAGATTAGCCGGGCGTGGTGGCAGGCATCTGTAATCCCAGCTACTCAGGAGGCTGAAGTAGGAGAATCTCTTGAACCTGGGAGGCATAGGTTGCAGTGAGCTGAGAGATCACGTCACTGCACTCCAGCCTGGGCACTAGAGCAAAACTCCATCTCAAAAAATAATGATAATAATGATCAAAATATAGAAAATACATTACATGGTTAACAGAAAATGCTGTTCCAAATTTTTATTGGAATGACCTTACAGCTGTGGTCTGTAGTCAGAATTGGAATGCAGCAGTAAATAGATTACCTGAATCCAATCAAGTAGAGAAGCAACCTGACAAATCTCTCCAAATCAGGTGAAAAAGTTGAAAGAGGCTATGAAAAACTTAGGTAACAATTACCTTGAACTCAAGGGAGACGGATTACATAACTAACTCCATGTGAAGGATGTGGATTTAGAGACTCCTGTTGTTACAGTAACTATAAAAAGGCCTTCGCATGATTATTTCTAGTACCACAGAATTACCCTGGCTGTACAGAATATCAGGTCCTGCATCCTTGGCTTTGAATTTCTGACTTATAAGTAAGTGGTACATCAGCTCATCTGAGATGGTAAACATATTGTGGCCTTAAAGTGCTCACTCAGTAACATGAGGTGATAAAACTGTTCCCTTAGTGCTGTGGTTCTCCAAGTGTGGTCACCAGACCAGTAGTGTCGGTATCATCTAGGAACTTGTTAGAAATCCAAATTATCAGGCCTCATCCCAGACCTATTAAAGCAGAAACTCCGAAGGCAGGGCCCAGTAATCTGGTTTTTGTAAGCCTTTCAGATGGTTCTGATGCACATTATTTTGATAACCACGCAGCTTAACATACAGATTAAAAGAGCTGCCAGACATAGTGCTCACACCTCTAATCCCAGCCCTTTTGAGAGTCAGAGGTGAGAGGATTACTTTAGCTAAGCCCAAAGTTCAAGCTAGCCTGGGCAACACAGCAAGACTCCCGGCCCTACCAAAAATAAAAATAAACTAGCTGGGTACAGTGGTACATGCCTCTCTAGTCCCAGCTACTTGGGAGGCTGAGGCGAGACTATTGCTTGAGCCCAGGAGTTCAAAGCTACAGTGAGCTATGATTGGGCCACTGCACTCCAGCCTGGAGTGTCTTTTTAGTGTCTCTAAAAAAAAGGGTGTTTTTTATAATTTTAATAAAAATAAATAAATAAATAAGAGCTTATAGTAGCTATCTCTAGAGCAGTGACTCTTAAACTTGGTGTCCATCAAAATCATCTGGAGAGCTTGTCAAAACACAGATTGGTGGTCCCCACCTCCAGTTTCTGATTCAGTAGATTTGGGTTGGAGTCTGAGAATGTGCATTTCTAGTTAAGTTCTCAGGGGATACTGATGCTGCTAGTATGGGGACTATGCTTTGAGAACCGCTGCCTTAGTTAAGTGTCCTTTTGATTCCATGAATGTTTAGAATTAAATATACTGGTGGTAAATGAAACCTTTGAAATTAATACTTTTATGTTAAAGATAATCTGTATGTGTTTAAACATTCTGAGGATTAAGAGAATTTGACAAGAGAATCTAGCAGATTAGCCTCATGATTCCAATTTATAAATGTATAACAGATTTATAATTTAAGTGGAAAGTCACAAAACATTTTCTATATTCATAAACAGTATCAGAATCTGACTTTTTAGTATTTATCTATTACTTTATTAGATTGATCAGTTTTATAAAGTACTTGGAAATTTTTGCACCCATCAGGTATCTGTGTACTCAGAAAAATACATTAAGTAAAAAAATAGTTTTGATATGTAACAAAACTCTTAAGAGAATTTAGAGTTTATGAGGGTTCAATCTGTATTTGAACTGAGTATCAAAGATTTACCCAAGAAAAAGTGAAAGATGAATTTTTTTTTTACATTTTTAAAGAGAACAAGATTTTAAGTTAAATGTAAAAAGCTGGCTGGGCATGGTGGCTCATATCTTTAATCCCAGCACTTTGGGAGGGGGAAGGGGAAGGATCACCAGAGGTCAGGAGTTGGAGACCAGCCTGGCCAACACGGTAAAACCCCCCATCTCTCCTAAAAATACAAAAATTAGCCAGGCATGGTAGCACACACCTGTAATCCCAGCTACTCGGGAGGCTGAGGCAGGAGAATTGCTTGAACCCAGGAGGTGGAGGTTGCAGTGAGCCGAGATCACACCATTGCACTCCAGCCTGGGCAACAAGAGCGAAACTCCATCTCAAAATGAAAAACAAAAGAAGTGATTTGATGGAACTTACAGTCAAGCCCAGTGCATGATCAAGACAAAATTGAACTCTCCTTTTTAAAAATTTAAGGAAT